CTTGGCTTGAAAATATGTTTACTGAGCTTGGCCTAACCTTTCACACTGTACCAGTAATCTGGTGTGATAATGTTAGTGCTGGTGCTCTTGTATCTAATCTCGTATTTCATGCTCGAACCAAACATATTGAGATTGACGCTCATTATGTTCGAGAACAAGTCTTGGCAAAAAAGCTAGCCATCCAATATGTTCCCTCCAAGCTACAAATTGCGGATCTTCTTACTAAAGCACTCTCAATTACTCAGTTCACTAAGTTAAGAGCCAAACTGAATGTGGTGTCATTAGGAAATGTTTGCAAGTAAATGATAGTTGATTCACTGCTGAGATTCTTTTTTAACCCTCCTTCTGATCTGGTTTGCAGCTCAGTTAATTGATCTGCAGTTCTAATAAATTGGTGTTTGCAGATTCTCTACTTTGCTTTTGATCTACTCAGTTAATTGATCTGGTGATTGTTCGTGAGTTATTCCTGATTGTTCTGGAGTTCTGTAATTGATTTATTGTTCTGGAGTTCACAGTTGATTTTTTTTTTTTTTTTTTTTTTGCTTTTTTTGTTCTTTGAAGATTCTGACAATTGATTCTCGCAGCAGCTCAGATACTATCTTTTTTCTGATCTGGTTTGCAACTCAGTTAGTTGCTCTTCTGCCAATTCTGAAAAATTTCTGCAAGCTCAAATAACTGTTCTGGTTGCAGCTCAGAAATTTCCTTATTATGTTGCTTTAGTTGATGGATGTATTCAGCTTGCATCTCAGATTTTTCTTCACTACGTTGCATATCAGTTGATTGATATTTTTCAGTCAGATATTGCATTCAGTTGGTGGATGTATTTAGCTTCAGCTCAGATGTTTCCTCACTTGTTCAGTTCGTTGATTGATGTATTCAGTCCAGATACTTGTTTTGTCTTGCAGTCCTGCTAGGTAGATTTAAGTTTCCTTTAGTGAGAAATTGCAGCCCAGCCATGTGCTCAATGCAGTTGGTTCTTCAGTTTGAACAATGGGGTGAATCATGCAGCTGAGTTAAATTGCGTGTTGATCATATCAGCTATTATTGCATTATTCCAGCAACTTATGCAGTCTGGTTTGAGGGGCATGTTGGACAAATGACAAAGTTATTGACGAAAACGTTGTCGTTTAGCTCAAATAATGAACACCCAAAACACTGTCGTTTAGAGTGTTAAAGTCTATTGAATTGAGTATATGTAAAAACAGTAGCACTCTTTCTTTGTTATTAACGAAAGTTAAGTAAAGATATTTGTGCTTTCTCTATTCTTACTCTCTCTCTGTTTTTCAGTCCTTTGTTTTCAGTTTTGCAATCACACAGTATCATTTTAAAGAAGAAGAAAAAAAGGACGAGAAAGTAAAAAAAAATCATATTTGGATTTAACCAAAAAAATTAAGTTAGAAGAAGAAGTGAAAAGTGATTATTAAACAAACTATGAGTTTAAGAGGGTATAAGAAAGAATAAATAGAAGGAAACATTAATAAAATGGAGATGTGCTTAGATTCTATAAGATCCTTTATAGTAATTTTATTTTAAGGTTAAACTTATCAAAATAATAATAAAAAAAATGAAACGAAGGTTATCAATAAAAAATGGGTATTGTTACTATTGTAACTGTTTCTAAACCCCATTATCAGTTCTTTTTTAAATTTAAAAATTTATTATATATGCAAATTACTAAAAAGGACTATCTGTGTCAAAATCTATTAACAAGTTTTTCTAACTTTAAAAACTTTTAAACATCTTGCATTTCTAAGATAAAAATATATTTATTTACTTCAATGATAATTGCTTTTAGTTTTTTTTTTTTTTTTTTTTTAAACTTTAAACATCTTGCAATTCTAATATTATACTCTATTTATTTAATTTAATTATATTTTTTCTTTTTCCAATTTATTTACTAAATCAAATCTATAGATTTCTAAATTCTAAATTTTAAAAAAACTGTTTCAAAACCTTTTACCTTTTAATTTCATCTACCTGTGTGTAACAGTAAATCACTTATACTAGTTTTCTTATTTTATTATATTATCAATAATTTTATGATAAATTTTTTATTTAATTCAACGTTCAATTATTGCTTATGATATTGTCTGTAAAATCATGGCAAGAAATATTCTTTCCAATTTTGGTTTAGCTTATCTTTATGAGTTTCCCATAATTGTTTCTAAATCATAAGTTTTTTTGTAAGAAAGAAGATAAGTAAAAAAAGATTAGAAAAGTAGGGAAGTTAAAAAAATATTGGAAAAAGCGCAATTTTTAAATATAATAAAATTTATTTAAATTTACCTTTTGTAATTGGTTTTGGGGCTTACAGGTTACAAAGTGTATAGGCGAGCTTAAATAACCCCACTTTTACTTTTTAACTTTTACACTAGATGTGATCTTTTAACTTAAATTTCTAACTTAAATTGAAACACAAATTCATGATTATTGATTATTTCAATTTAACGCATATAAGATGAAAATTGAAATGGTTATTTATTTATTTGTCACCTTATCAACTCTTACCACTATTGGTTTGCAATAGATTAGCACTTGAAAATTTAAGTCAGAAATTTCAATTAAAAGATTTGATCCCTTTTCAATTAATCATTTAATTTTCTATTGATTTGTTTACTGTTTGTTATTCAATTATTGAAAAATTTCACTTAGGTCTACACCATTTTATAAGAAATTTATCAATAGTTATTTTTTCTTTCATATTTAACTAATTTTTCTATTTTTCTAAAGTTTTTCTTAGGTTTTTCAAATCAAGATTCATATAATTGACATGATGAAGATTAAAATTTTTCTACAAACAAATCTCAAGCGAATTAAAACACAAAGAATAATATAATAATGAACAATTTAAAATAATTGAAAAAGAATAAGTATAAAACGACATAACCTAACATTATGTTGAAATTGAAATGTTGATCCTTACCATTCCAAAACTCAAATATTTCTATGGAAATTAAGAAGAGAGATTGTTATAATATTGAAGTGAAAAAGACATGTTGGTGATTTTCTAAGTTATTTGACTTTTAAAGCATTATGTATAGGTAAAAAATCGTCTTGAGCCTAATGAAGCCCAATAACAAAATAAACATGCCACGGCTCAAGGTCTTGGCCCAATTCCAACTAGGCCTACACTTAAATTCACTTGTGAACTGCCCTACGAGTTGGTTATCCTATAAGTTAAGTTAAACTGGGTTCTGACCGGTTAGCCCACGGCAATCCATTAATAGGAAATCAGAATCTCACCCTATTTCTTTTTCTGCCAAGATTCCGAATCTTACTCAAACTAGTAAACCTAATCTGATAAAGGAAAGAAATTTTCTTTCTTTTTCTGATTGGAATAATCTCCCAAAGTAGGATTTAGTGTCCTACTAGGATTCCAACCCCTTGAGTTCACTATATAAACAAAGGCAAACCCTCTCATTAAGGTGATTATTCAATATCACTACCACCTTCTAAGCTCCCGAGTTCTAGCTCCCAAGAACTATACATCCTTGCCATAGGCCTCGTCTCCGACAAAACTTCTAGTAATCTTTCTTTCCCTTAAACTTCATTAAATAACCTCTCTTAGACTTGCTGACTTGAAAGTTTCATCACAATAAGAAAGTTCTTCTTTACTTTTCTTCATTTGTTTTATCTATTCACATGTATTATATCATTCAGCATATCATAGTTTGTTTTACGCATATCATGTCTATTCAACATATAATATGATACCTTGAAGCATCAAAACACATCTCCCGTGTTCATAATTTGTTTTGTGCATTAGTTGGAATATTACTTCCTTTTTTGTATGTGTTTAATTTCTTTTTAGAAGGTATTTCGTTTTCTAAAAACCCTTACATCTCTTGGACATGTTTTAGAGTTTTTAAAAACCCATTTCCACATCTCAATGCTTCTCATCACTCATCCAACACTTCCAGCGTAAAATCACATGTGCTCCTCCACATATCTCAGTTTCAAGATACCACCCCACCTATTTGATCCTTTTCTAACATGATCATCTAATGCGTAAGAAGACAAACGTTGCTTTGGGTTGTGGGCCCTTTCTTCTTTACATTACCTTCCCACAGACGACACTATATACATATAACACTCAAAACTGTAATAATACCCAAATCAATTAGCATAGATTCAGTCATTTGGTTCATGCCACCAGAGTTTTTTCCATCCAGATTGGTTTCCCAAGCAACAATAGAAGCGACCCTCATGCACTCTCCCTCTCTTTTTATTTATACCAACATCACCCTTTTACAGCCCCACATCTCTATCATACAGCCCCACTTCACCAACCTATAGCCCTACTTTGCCAAGTCACGGTCCTCAGTCTGCCAAATACAGTCCATCACTAGCTTATTCACCAAGCGGCCCAAGATTGCCACTTGCCAGCAGTCCTACATCTCTAGATTACAGCCTAACACCTTCATCATATTCACCTACATCTCCATTTTATTCTCTTTCAAGCCTGTCATTTAGTCCTAGCAGTCCATATAATTCTAGGGTAAGCCCTGACTATAGCTTGAGTTCTCCACAGTACAGTCCAAGTGCCGAATACTCACCTAATGTGTCAGGCTACTCTCCATCATCTACTATTCTATACACCCCACAGAAAAACAGGGAAGAATGCCACCTCCCAATCTCTTTCTTCTTCCATGAAAAAAGTCAAAGTTCCCTAAGAAACTTGCCAAGAACGATTCTAAATCTTCTCCAGAAATCACCAAATTCCTTTCGAAAACCTCAAGAACTATTGGAAAATTAAACTTTGTAGAAAAAACGGAGAAAACCCATGAACTTTTAGCCTCCTTCAGAAAATGAAGCCACCAAGCATCTATAAAACTACTACATAACATAACTTCATCTTTTTTCTAGAAGTACACCCACCTTACAACAAATCCAACACGAGCTTAATCAATTCTTTCATGGAGATCGTATCATCCACTAAAGAAAAAGCTTTTTTCTTCTTAGAGTCTCATTAGTGGGACCTTGGACACTATCGTTTCAACTTTCTCAGACATCCAAGGAAGGAAATAGAGTAACAGAAGCTCTCAAGCTTGGTAAAGGCGAAAGCTCTCAGGTGGCCACTATGAATGTTTTGAGAAACAAGCCTTTCACTTTGTCATCACAGACCACTGCCACTGCCATCACTGCTGCTGTTGCCACCGTCGTTGTTACTTTGAAACCCAATGTCTTCAATCTCCCTACCGTTAACTCTACCTCGCCGCCACTATCTCACTAGTCGCTGTCTACATCTCCTTTTGCATCACTGTCTCACTCTCCTACTAGGTCTCGTTCTCGCTCTGAGTAAGCCAATTCCATGTGCAGTACGTGGATCGCATGACCCCTAAAGGGTACTTGAGTGGACTTCCACACTCCTGCTTTGAGTTTCCGTTATTGGTAAGAAGTGGTGAGCCCCTATACTGACTTTAGTAAGGATGGGCACAATCCAGGCCAAGGCCGATGACCTTTGTCTCCGGCCTCAGCCCAAAGGCCCAAGGGGATTCCCTGGTCCTCGCCTATAGCCCGAATGGGGAATTCAAAGAATCCCTAAATTAGGCCCGATCCCCAAATGGGGAATTCGAGGAATCCTTGAAATCCCTGTTTGGGGGTTTTGCCTCTTTGATCCTGCCTTATTACCATTTTCTCCAAATTATAATGTACATATTAAACATAAAGACCATCATACTAAATTTATAATATATTGTAATACATTACAAATTTATAATCAAGAGATTCAAAACATAAGAAGTCAAACTGCCAAAAAGACCCCACAATCCACATTAGTAGATTCAATACATCACACTATCAAGATTCGACATTCAAGAGTAACACCTAGATGGCCAGACCACAGTAGACAATGCCTAACACATTCCATTTCCATGTGCAGCCCACAAACAACCTATAGACAAATTTTAAATTATTACATACCTAAAAAAAAATCTAAACCATATTAACTTGCATATAATTAAAATATTGAGAAATAAACCTGTCACCTAAGAAATCCAAAACTTTTCACCAAAAGCATCCATATCATCAAAATTATAATACTTCGATTTCCTCCTAAACAAGCAAAAAATATAAATTAGATGATATTTAAGTAACATGTACACAAATTTTAACTACCATACAAATGACTAAAGAAGAGGAAAGAAAAAGAATACATTATAAAATACAAATCTATAATACCTCATTGTCTGCATCATTGTCATCATAAATTGATGAATAATATCCTAGCCTTCGGCGTAACATAACAATAAAAGTAAACATTAACAACTATCATATGTTAATAGGTTTTTTAATTCTTAATGTAGAAGAAACAAAAATTTCTTTTTTGATTACCTTTGATGTCAGCCCATTTCCAATTCCGTAAACACATCAAAGCCTCTATTGTATCAGAATCAAGCCTGTTGCGATGCAGACTCACTATATTGCCAGCAATGCTAAATGCAGACTTAGAAGCAATGTAGACACTGGAACAACTAGGATATCTGAAGCAATCCTTTGTAGGATAGGATATTTGGCCCCACATGACCTCCACCAAGTCAATAAATCAAAGTCTGGAGTTCTAGGAATAATTTTCTCATCTAAGTAAGAATCCAACTCAGACTTTTCTTGGCCAATACTAGATTCTTCGTACAAAAAATTATCCAAACTAGCCATTACCCCCATCCTTTCAAACTTAGCCTAGGAAGATGTGCCAGAGGATGTAGTGAAACTATAAGATTGATGCGTTTGGCAGCTTCAATGGTTACTCTCATATTGAACATACAAATCATAACATAATCTCAAGATCTCATAATCTCATCTAAACCATCCTCTCCATAGAGCAAAGGAAAAAAGAAATCTAATAACTTCGTTTTAAACCTAGGGTCTAAAACCATTGCAATCCCCATGACACCATGAATCACACTCCAATGCTTTTTTAACTTTTATCCATCTGAGTTGCCATCTTCCTTACCAAATCATCCTCATCTATTAGCAAATTAGTAACATGAAGTCTAATTTCACAAATCTTGGGAAAATAAGAATTGGCAATGGGATATTTCATTGCAGAGAACACGAGTGTGGTATCATAAAATATTTCAAGCTTCTCATTGATATTTTCTCCAAACTTCCATTCTTCATCACTTGGTAAACATTTAAAATTTGAATCTTGATGCTTTAAATGCCTAAATATCCCTTTATAAATGAAAGTTGTTTGAAGCATCAAACACGTTGAATTCCAACGTGTCTTACAATCAAGACGTAACTTCTTTGTGCTTGGAATGCCTGCATGACGTGCCATTTGCACAAATTTTTGCTCCCTTTTAGGTGATGTCATCCAATAGGAAACAATTTCATGGATTTTGGATATTGCTACTCCAATAACTGATAAGCCATCCTGAACAGCTAAATTGAGAATATGCGCACAACAACGCATATGAAAAAATTCGCCATGTAACATAAGGATAGAACATTGAAGCTCTCCTAAGATATCATGGAAAGCTGCATCATTGGTAGAGCAATTGTTAACCGTCAATGTGGACAACTTCGAATCAATATTCCAACCATAAAAACAGTCCATAAATGCCATAGAAAGCACATCTCTAGTATGTGGGCAACGCACATGTACAAACCTACAATATAAATTGTAGATAATTAATATTTTAATTTATCTTAAAAAATTACAAAGAAATAAGAATAATGAAACATAAAAATTAAAAACATAATACCTTAAAAGTTGATTATGCAAGACCCAATTATCATCGATAAAGTGCGCTGTGATGGTCATATACCTTTGTTCTAGTTGCCAGCAATCCACAAATCAATAGTGATGGTAACTTTACTCTGGTTCTTACTTAACTTTTTCATGGACTTCTCCTTCTGAACTTCATACATCTTCATAATGTCCCTCTTAATAGTTCTCCTAGAGACAACATTGAAGGAGGTTGAAATAGTGTTGCAAATTTTCTAAACCCCATATCGTCAGCCATGCTCAACGGATACGCATGAAGAATAATCATATTTACAGGATCATCTATCCCCACCTGTTGATCTAAATGGTAATTGCTTAATGTCTTTTTGAAGTCTTGTTTTTGCATCCCCACAAGCATCATTTATGATACATCTTGATTCTTTTACATTGCACAAATTTTCTGATGATCATGCAAATGCCTTGTTCCGTTTTTAGAACCATCGACTAGCTGTCGGTGACAGTGGTTACACTCTGCCTTTTCCTTCCCATCAACTAAGACTTTTTTGAAATGTTGCCATACAATTGGCCTAGACCTTCCAGTTTCAGTAACACAAGTATCCTCTTGGGGAAATAGAGGAGGGGTTGAACGAGGGGTATCGGTCATGATTGGTATGCTAGTTCCTTGAACTGGATATTGTTCTTGGTCATTTCCATCAGATTTGGGTGGAATATTCATGTGGGAACTCGCAATAGATACTTTTTTGGATGCCTCAGAAGATCGGTTGATATCTTCTTCTAAACCCCTTCTTTTGGTCGATGTTGACATGGTGTAATGTAATCTATTAATAACCTGCAGATAACATCCACAAAAGAATAAAGATGTTAAAAAAAAAAATTGCAAAAAAAACCCCTACAACAGTTTACACATTTGTTAAAAAAAAAAAAAAAAAATTGCAAAATAACTCAACTCGCAATAGATGCAATCTACAAGTTCCATTTGCAAATTGCAGATGTAAACTACAGTGCAGATGTAGTTTGCATGTGCGAATTGGTGTAGTTTGCTTGTGTGAACTGCAGTGCAGTTTGCTCAAGCAAACTGCACAGCAAGTGCAAACATAACTCGTACAAAAACAAGCTCGGATCAGATCATAACTGAATCAATCTAAACCCTTAAACCCCACATAAAATCTTCAAGCATAACTCAATCAATCAATCTAAACGGCAAATACAAAAACAAGCTTGGATCATAACTCAATCAATGTAAACCCTTAAACCCCACATAAAATCTTCAATCATACAAACCAAAACTGATGAAAGACCAAAATTTTAAAAGAAAACAAAGCACGGAGAAAGACCTTGTTTGTACAGGTTTTAAGAGTTGATTAATAAAAGAACTACAAAAACAAACAAAACAAGAAGTGGGTTAAGCCTTTCAGTTGAAAAAACACTCTTTCAATTCAACTCAACCAAATATTGAAGTTCCAAGAAAAGTTAGATGGAAATGTTCATCAATCATAATAAAGAACACGCAATGCAACCGATAAAAGCAATAAACATCCAAAGAATTTCTAGGTTGAGAAAAGAGAATTGAATGGGTAGAATTTAAGACATAGTGATGAATTGTGGAGGCCGGAATCAATGAAGAGGCAAAGATATTCTAATGAAGGTTTGACACTGAAGAGGTGGTAGCGTTTTAATTGGACAAGGGATTTAGGGTTTCAAACTTTGAATCGTGATTCGTGAGTTAAGTTGAGTTGAGTTGTATACTTGGGCATAATTTGTGTTTATAAATGAAGGTCAAAACTGTTATTATAAAAATATAACAAGGGCAAATGGGTAATTACGTAATGATTAAATCATTTAATTTAAATGAAGGACAAGGTCCACAAATACTTTATTTATAATAATTAAAAAAAATTATAATGATTTATGGATTTATTATAATGAATCAAAATATCAAAATGATAATTATGATACATTATACATATATATAAATATATTATATATTAATAGTACAATATTATGTATTATTGTACTAAGTAATAAGTATTAATATATGATATTATAATTACGGATAATAGCATATTATGTATAATATATAATGTACAATTTTTGTTTTATAGCATATTATGTATAATGTATAATATATAATATCAATATATTAAAATAAATTCTAAATAAATCTCACAATATATATTATAATGTCTCATTAATATTCTAAATAATACATAACATTATACATAATGTATTACATCTGATACATTATACATATATATTATAATAAATTCTAAATAAATAGCTACCATATATATTATAATAAATTCTAAATAAATAGCTACCATAATATAATAAGGGTAATTAGGTAATAAAATTGAAATAATGATTCAATGAGGGAGAAAAAAAATTTATAATGATTTATTGATTTATTATAATCAATCAAAATATCAAATGATACATTATACATATATAACATATATATTATGTATTAACATATAATTATAGATAATGACATATTATGTATAATATATGTATAATATATGTATAATATATATATATATATTATACATATATATCAAATGATACATTATACATATATAACATATATATTATGTATTAACATATAATTATAGATATATAATAGCATATTATGTATAATGTATAACATATATATGTTATACACATTATACATATATAACATATATAATGTACAATGTACAATGTATAATGTTGAATGTATAACTTTAGATAATAGCATATTATGTATATTGTATAACATATATATGTTTTACACATTATATATATATATAACATTTATATTATGTATATCAAATGACACATTATACATATATAACATATTTATTTATTATGTATTACAAATATTTATAATGATTTATTATATTTAATCTAATTATATTTATTACCTATTAGTATATGGTTTCATAAAATACTCAAACAATTATAATTTGTTTTTGTATAATTTATGGCTTTATTGATTGATTTTCAACTATTAAAATTAATATAAGATTAAATGGTTAAAATCAAACCTTAGTACAAATATATAATGCACGGGCCGGGTCGGGGAATTCGGGCCGAGGAAAAAACGGGGCTGGGCCGGGGCAAGACCAATTCATCCCCGAATTCAGAGACCGATTTTTAGCCCGAGCCCGACCCAAACCTCGAATAATTCGGGGAAACTTCGCCCAATTCGGGGCAGGTCGAAGCTAGTATTATGCCTATCCCTAGACTTTAGGCCATTCCTCGCACATGCGCTTGAAGCATAATCTCCATGTTATATCCTACGGTGGTAGGAGCTGCTCTACAGTAGTTGTTCCTACAACTCAAAGAGACAAACAAGTGGCTTCAATGCCTTCACGCGGCTCAGCCACTCGTCTCCCAATACTCCACAAAATTCAGGTCAAAAATCTTCAGACAAGTCTCACACAACTCCGCTTGGCAAACACTTTCTCAAAGAACCCACTCGCCTCGCCTATGGGCTTTAGAGGAACACCAGAGTTTCTCTTGGCACAACTCAACCCCAATCACAAGACTCCAAATAGTTTTGTGACCGAACTTTGTCCTAGCTAACAATCACAAGAGGTTCATCAGTGAATGAACGACTTTATAACCCTCAGTTCCCACTTTAATACCGCTGCTCGACTCTACTTCAAAGGACAAAATTGAGAAGCAAATTTGGACTTCCCTTGGCCTATCTATAAGAGACTTAACACCTTCTCTTTCCCGCTCGACGTCAGAAACATATACATAACTCCACACTTGTTCAGTCAATTCAAACAAGGCCTAATATAACCTTTGTCTCCATTAGGCTCTGCTTCCTAAATAAAAAACATTATCCCTTCTTGGTTTAGTCTAAATGAAAAATTCAGCAATATTCACAGCTCCAAGTCATTTTGAAACATGTGAATGCTCAACTCCCACTTGGCTCTTTACGATCGTACTCTGAGTAAACGATTCCACTCGTCCCACAACCAAGTCCAAAAGTTTTAGTTGGCTCAACCTAATTTTCTCTTGGGGCATCCTCCGATCACTCCACTTGGCAAGTGGACATCTCCATACTCGGTTTTATTTACAAAATTCTAATCAGCCATGTACACAATAAGGCCTGGATCATGCCTATAGAGTTTCACTTGGCTAGGTAGTTTCACCCAAGTCAAATGGAGCCAAATGGGAATGGTTATTATTCAAAACCCTCATTTCAGAAAAGGAGTGCTACTTTGCCTCTCCAAAATGCTGGCAAGAAAAACCCAAAGAACNGTGCAGGGAAAATCTCAAAAAGGTTCATTACATATCTTATTTTTAAGGTCACGCTTTTTCCTCAATAATTAAATCTCCTTCTCATGTCTAATATACCTCAATTATTTATTGTATATGAACCCTTTTTTATTTTATTTTTAAATTTCACTTGAATAACCTTATTTGTTTTCTCAATTTACCTCGTGTCACATGTTGGGAGTTTCATAGGATTGGGTGGGAGAGAATATCACGGATCTCATATCAAAAACACATTGATTGGGAGTTTCACAGGATTGGGTGGGAGAGAATATCACGGATCTCATATCAAAAACGCATTGAGAAAGTCTTGGGCTTATAAGAAGGGAGTCCTGCCACCTAATAAATTAGCTTTTTTGATGTAAAACTCCTAGTCCGTGACACTTAACTAACATACTATATTAGGTCGAATCTTTGTCTCAAATCTGGCTTCTATACATATCAGTTAAGTATAAATATATTTTTCATTGTTTTCTCTCTCGAACAAGAAAAAGAGACAAAAGGAGATTAATTAAACAAAGAAATAAGTTTCTATCATTAAGGTGGTGGAAAATTGATGTGAAATATAATAAACCAAATGGATTCTCATTCGTTAATATAGTGGAAGAGGACAAAAATTATTCTTTGATTTGAAGATCCACAAACAGGCATAGGCATAATCCTTGCCATGTCGGGACTCGGCTCGGCCAAACCCAAACGAGGCGGAGATTCCTCGAATTGTTTGGGGTTTGGGTCAGGCTTAGGCTAAAAAACAGTTGTCGAATTCGAGGATGGGATTAGTCTTGCCCTACCCCTTCCCGTCCTATCCCCGAATTGTCGCCGCCTTGACTTCCCCATATATATATATAAGGTTTAATTTTAACAATTTAATCCTATATTAATTTGAATAATTGAAAATCAATCAATGAAACCATAAATTATACAAGAGCAAATTATAATTGTGTGAGTATTTTATGAAACTATATACAAATGGGTAATAAATAATAATAGATTAAATATAATAAATCATTATAAATATTTGTAATACATAATAAATATGTTATATATGTATAATGTATCATTTACTATATATATTATATATATATATTATATATATATATATATATATATAGTGAATAAAAGTTATACATTATATGCTATATTGTACTGATGTGGGGTCCTTTTGGCTCCTCATATTTTGATTATAAATTTATAATATAATGTAATATATTATAAATTTATTATAATGGTCTTTATGTTTAATATATACATTATAAATTTAATTTCTTTTCGGATGATATGCATTATAATTTAGAGAAAATGATAAGGTAGGTTCAAGTTGCAAAATCCCTAAACGGGGAATTCAAGGATTCCCAAATTCCCGGTTTTGGGATCGGGCTTAATTCAGAGATTCCTTGAATTCCCCGTTCGGACTTTGGGTTGAGGTCGGAGACAAGGGTCCCCGACCCCAACCCAGCCCGTGGCCATCCCTATCCACAAAGCACCTTTTGTTTTGTTTTCAAGATATGATTCAACTTATAATATCATAAATATAAATCCATAAATTTGCTTTTCAGAAAGTATTGCATTTCGATTGGTATTTGGTTGTAATATCAATATAATATTGATGGTAATTATTTATTAATTACATATTTAAATCCTTAAATACTGTGCTTCGATTTAATTGTCCACAAGCACGTTTAACAACCGAAAAAAGCTGCATTGTTAAAATATTTAATTAAATGTATTACACGTGTTGAGATGGTGAAACCAAATTCAATCCAAATTAATATTACATTAGGACATGAATTTTCCTAATACGTTTCTATGTAGAATTGTTTTTATTTAGAAATACAATTAGGAATAGAAATATAATTGTATTAAGAATTAAAATACAATTCTTATTAAGATATAAGTTTTGAGTCTTATTAGGAATAATATATTATGTATTATTTACAAAAAGTGTTTAAATCATAAAATTAGGTAATTGAATAGAATAGAAAGTAAAGTCACAATTAAAGAATAAGAGCCATAAAAAGATGCTTAGTGAGAGAGAGACTTTTGTAATTTTGCTTCTTCTTCAAAGCGACAGAGTAGATGTAACTCTTATATAAATCTTATGTTTGTGTGTGATTTCTTTATTTGTTTTTTATTTGTTTTATTTTCGTTTTTATATGAATTTATGATTCGTTAGCATCTGATTAAATCCACACAACAATTCGGTGTGATGTTATCTATTTTTGTAAAACAAAAAAATAATTAACCCTGACTCAAGGAACACAAAACAATACTACAAAAAAAGATTATAATCTGATAATAATAACTGCTCTGTTAATTATCATATTTTCTTGAGAGTAATTCACCCAATCGATCGAGCTAACGTTCTTGCATACTTAAGAGAGTGGATTACAATGGAATTAATATACAATACATATTAAATAAACATAATTATATTAAAGCTAATTATAGGTGTCAAAAGAAAAAGTTGCTTATGGACCCAAATTAAAGATCTTGATTGACCATCAAATCGAAGTATTTTGTCCTTTTCATGAATGCGAATCCCATTGGTGTAAATTAAATATTTCACGTCTCCATGATTGAAGCTCAATTTATCTCTAAATCAGTTGAACTTTAGAGTCTTAATTATTAAAGGAGGGAGCTAGAGAAGAAAAGATTAAGGAAGAGAAATATGGAAGCTAATTATAAAGAGACAAACTCCATTTCAGCTTCACTTAAATCTTACCCCATGAATGGTGGAGAAGGCCCTAATAGCTATGCCAATAATTCCAGCTTATATCAGGTATCAATCTCTCTATGAAAAACGTTTTACACTAAACTTAAAACGAATAATATCTACTATTTTCAATTTTGTAGAAAAGAGGACTGGATATAGCCAAGACATTTTTATACGAAGAGATCAACAAGAAGCTTGACGTGAAGCTGCTTTGTTCTTCTTCAAATTCCTTCAACATTGCAGATTTGGGATGTTCGGTTGGACCCAACACATTTCTGACCATCCCAAATATTATAGATGCCATAAAATTCAATTTCCAATCCCAGAACTTGAACCCTAACACTATAGAATTTCAAGTCTTTTTCAATGACCATACTTTGAATGATTTCAACACTCTCTTCAAGTCTCTTCCTTCTGACAGAAACTATTTTGCTGCTGGTGTGCCTGGCACGTTTCATGGAAGCTTATTTCCGAAGGCCTCATTGCATTTTGTACACTCTTCTTATTCGATTCAATGGCTCTCTAAAGCTCCGGATGAGGTTCAAGACCAAGGCTCTCTTGCATGGAACAAAGGGAGGATTCTTCAAGATGGAAGTGAGGATGTTGAAAAGGCTTATGCATCTCAGTTTGCTGATGATATGGTGTCGTGTTTGAGAGCTAGGGCAATGGAGATTCTCCCTGGAGGTTTCATGGCTTTTCTCCTTCCATGCATACCACATGGAGCCAATCCTTCAAATTGTTCTTTGATTGCAAATTTGGAACTTATGGGCTCTTGCCTAATGGACCTCGCCAAGAGGGTATGGATATATAATTAATTGTTCAATAATTCTACTCATGAAACTTGTTTCATCTTCAATTGCATGGCCTGGAAGTAATTAGTAAACAAATCATTTGAGAAGTTTCAAAACCTTTTTTCATTACATATAATGATAAGTGGTTAAAGAATAATGATTTGTCAGAGGGATCTCAAATTTTCACCCAAGAAAAAATAAATTTTATGAACTTTACATTATTTTTGGGCAGGGTTTGGTGGAAGAAGCAAAAGTGGACTCCTTTGTTGGAGATCCCATATCGACTAGGCACACTCAAGCCAATGGGTTTATAAGAGTGGGCAATCCTCCCACTCAATAAGGCATTTTGGGTGAGGAGTTAGGCCCAACTCCAACAGTGGTATCAGAGCCAGCCCCATGTGAGCTGAGTGATTGACCAGCGGTGGGCTGCCAAACTACCTCCATTCATAGGCAAGTGGACCATATGGGCTTGACCGTGAGGGAGAGTGTTGGAGATCCCATATCGACTAGGCACACTCAAGCCAATGGGTTTATAAGAGTGGGCAATCCTCTCACTCAATAAGGCCTTTTGGGTGAGGAGTTAGGCCCAACTCCAACATCCTTCAAGCTGCCTTTATACTTTGCAACTAAGCAGGAGATGGAGCTATTGATACAGATAAATGGGTGCTTCAAGATTGAGAGAATGGAGCAAATGGAACGCCCCATGGGAGACATAACAAGATCAACTGTCGAGAAGTTTGCGTCGCTTATGAAAGCCGGATTTGAAGGGATTATTAAGCAACATTTCGGAAGCCATGAGTTCATTGAAGAGCTCTTCAACCATTACACAGATAAACTCATTGACCATGGCCTCTTCTTGGATTCTAGTTACATGCCGATGCTTGACTTATTTGTCTTTCTCAACCGCATTAATTGATCATTGAGTATTTTGTATAAATATCTATAATAAAGTTTTATGTAAAGTAATATTACAACTACCAAGTTACCAAAATGACTCTAGAAATAACTTTATCGACCAGAAATACTCTAGAAATAAATTTTTATGTCTCTTCCTTTTTTTTTTCATGGGCACATGTATCTTCGAGGGAAAATTTTAAAAAGTTATTTAAGGGTCCATTTGATATAGAATTTAAATACAAAAAAATTGTTTTAAAAAAATAAGAGATATAACAAATCTTATAAAAATGAGTAGATTGTTTTCAAAAATAGTTTTCGAATACAATCATAAAAACTAGTATAAAATTAGGAAATGATTAAAAAACATTTTCACAGTTTTCTATAGCTTTGAATCTGAAAACAGTTTTTAAATTTTATATCATACACATTTTTAAATATTAAAAATATTAAAATACAACTCAAAATTTGAATCATACTTTAGTTTCTAAAATGAAATCTATGTGAGTAGAAAATTATATTCTACAGCTTCATAATTTAAGAGATATATATATATAATCGACATAAACAAGAAATATTAGTAAAGATATGTTTTCCTACATTATGTGTTGACGCATGATTTTGGACGCCAACGACTCGCACGTACAAAGTGCTAAGAGAGTCTTAGAAATTACACGTGATGGAGATTTGAATATGGAGCTGAGATTATATATGTTGCAAAAAACATAAATAATAGGCTAACAAGAGAGGTTTTTATAGTGGTTCGAATGCTCAAACAAGCGACTCCTACATCCATTGTTATTTTATTGATCTCTGACCCTTTCTATGATATTGCCTGTAAGGCAAACAAAGATGAAGAAATACAGTGTTTACATAGAGAAAGAATTGAGCTCAAACTATGGTTAGCTCTCATATGCCTCGCCCCCCTTTTCGGGAAGAGAAATGTCAATTTATACACCCCTGAACTCAATGTAATAAGTGTTTTGCAAGTTGCCTTGACACATGGAAGGCTCTCGTCCATTCATCTATTGAAATGAGATAGGGTTGGTATGAATATCTTTGAGTAGATATGGGCTTGGCAGCTAGTAACAAAAGACATTTATTAGGTTGACATAAGCATGACTTTTTAGGCATAACATTATGTATTAATTAACAAGAATTTGAGTTGGTATGAAAATCCTCACATAAGAGGAACTCACCTAATATTGAAGTACTGAGAAAAAACCCATTAAGTTTCGGATTTATCTTTAGCAATAGCCTGTCAAATCAATTAGAGAACACAGGGTGCAAAAATAAAGTGAAAATGAACGAGCTGGAATGTAGAATCCTTTCTTCTTCTTTTTTTCCCCACAATTTTTCATATTTTTATGGGACACAAATAAATAGATGGAAACAATATTAATTTTATGTTTCTTCATTGCAAAGGGCTAGAATAATCCATCGTTACCACAAGCTTTTGCATCTCCTATTTCATTACTTTATCCATCTCGGATGTGAACAGAATAACACAAGCTTTATAGAGTAAAAGGTATTTGGTAAAGTTGTATATTCTATAACTGAGTAAAGTAAAAGTTGCTGTACATATACAAGGAACTGTAACTAACTAAAACGTGACTAATCTAGCAAACTAACTGCTTTACAGCTCAGCATCTAACTAATGTAACCAATTATACAATAAAATAATTTATTCTGTACATCCCCCCCTTAAGTTGGAACTTGATGGAAATCCAACAACCCTAACTTGGAAGTAAATTGATGAAACAAATGACCAGCTAAGGATTTGGTGAAAATATCAGCAACCTGCAGCTTGGAAGGAATATGTTGAGGATGAACAAAACTAGCCTTAAATTGATTGCGAACCAAATGACAATCAATTTCGAGATGCTTGGTGCGCTCATGGAAAACAGGGTTGGTAGTGATATGGAGGGCAACCTGATTATCGCACCAGAGAGGAATAGGAAGGTGAAGCTGAACATGTAAGTCCTAAAGAATATAGGAAATCCATTGCAATTCACAAACAGTATAGGCAAGTCTGCGATATTCAGCTTCAGTAGAAGATCTGGAGACAGTGGTCTGTTTCTTGGTTTTCCAAGAGATGAGAGAATAACCAAGATAAACACAATAACCAGTTAAAGACTTTCTGGTAGTTAGACAAGAAGCCAAATCTGCATCACAAAATGCTTCTAAACGAAAAGAGCTATTTGCAGGGAAAAACAAGCCTTTAGAAGGACAACCCTTCAAGTAACGAAGAACATGAACAGCAGCTTCCCAATGATGAGTGTAGGGACGTTGAACATGTTGACTGAGTTGCTAAACTGCATAAGCAAGATCAGGTCAGGTGAAGCCAAGATAAAGAAGTCTACCAACCAATCTGCGATATTGATCAGGATTAGCAAATAAAGTATCCTTAGTAGAACAAAACTTGAAGCCTTTAGGTAAAGGAGTTGTAGCAGGTTTGGCACCAGAAAGGCCCGCATCTGTAATAATATCCATAGCATATTTTCTCTGATATATGTAATTACCCTATGAGGATTGAGCAATCTCAAGACCAAGGAAATATTTGGCATATCCAAGATCTTTAATGGTAAATTGATCATGAAGGAACTTCTTCACAGCAAGAATGTCAGTTTCAGAAGAACCAGTAATGATGACATCGTCAACATATACTAAAAGAACAATAAAGGAAGAATCAGTAGATTTAACAAACAAACAAGTATCATGAGTAGACTGAGTAAAACCATAAGTAATCAGTTGAGAAGTAAACTCATTATTCCACTGTCTGGAAGCCTGTTTCAAACAGTATAGAGATCGTTTCAGATGACAAACCTGATCTGGTCTAGCTGTATCATAACCAGCAGGTGGTAACATATACACTTCTTCATCAAGATAGCCATGCAAAAATGCATTATTAATGTCAAGCTGATGAATAGGCCAGAATTTTGCAGTAGCTACAGCAAGAAAAATTCGTACAATAACTAATTTTGCTATAGGAGAAAAAGAATCAAAGTAGTCAACACCTTCTACTTGGTTGTAACCCTTGGCAACTAATCGGGCTTTATACCTATCAACTGAACCATCTTGATTAAGTTTGATCATATAAACCCATCGGGAACCAATGGCTTTCTTTCCTGCAGGTAAAGAGGTTAACTCCCATGTATGATTTGCTTCTAAAGCCTAAAGTTCATGGTGCATGGCCTGTACCCACAGATTATTAAGTCTAGCTTGACTATAAGAAGCAGACTTTTGGACATTAGATACATTTGCCAAGAAAGACATATATGATGAAGTAAAAAGGGGTGATTGCACATATGGAAATGTGGGAGGTGTATGTGGTGAAGAGACACCAGATTGAGCAACAGTGGCACTAGAAGTTGATGGACAAGTAAGAACATTAGAGACAAAATCTTCTAACCAAGCAGGTGGTTTGGATGTCCTGGTACTACGTCGTTTATGAGGTATAATTGGTGAGGGTGAGAGTCTATAGAAGAGGAGTTAAGTGATGAAGGTGACAAAAGGGGAGAAAGTAATTCTGTATGATTAAGAGGAGTATAGTGATGATTTTCAGTAATAGAAATCTGACGTAAAGACACAGTTGTTGACATAGGGCTATTTTGTTTAAAAGGAAAAGAATGCTCATGAAAAATGACATCCCTAGACATAAACACTGTTTTAGACCGAATATCAAACATTTTATAGGCTTTATGACCACTGTTATAGCCGAGGAAAACACATTTATAAGCTCTAGGGGCGAACTTATCTTTATGAGGATGAGTGTTAGTAGCAAAACATAAGCATCCAAATGTTCTGAGGAAAACGTAATCTGGAGATTTATGGAAAAGTATTTCATAAGGGGTTTTCCATTTGAGAGCAGGAGTGGGCAATCTATTAATGATATAAGTGGCTGTGAGTATGGCTTCCCCCCAAAAGTGTTTAGGGAGAGCTAATTGAAACATAAGGGATCTAGCTACTTGAAGCAAATGTTTATGTTTCCTTTCAACTAATCCATTCTGCTGAGGTGTATAAGTGCATGATCTTTGATGTAAAATGCCATGTTCAAGGAAAAGATTCTGAAAATCTTTACTAAGAAATTCAGTTCCATTATCAGTTTGAATTCTTTTAATGGACAGGGAGAACTGATTTTTAATCATCCTAAAGAATGTAGTCAATGTATGTACTACTTGACTCTTATGGCTAAAAAGAAAATTCCAAGTAGCTCTACTGAAATCATCAACTATAGTTAAAAAATAATGTGCCCCTGTAAGTGTGGCTACTTTATAAGGTCTCCAAATGTCAACATGAATCAATTCAAAAGCTGTGAAAGAGTAAGTTGTGCTAAGATGGAAAGGTAATCAATGCTGTTTTGACAGTGGACATACATCACAAATAAAAGTTGCTAGATCAGAATGTTTGACAACAGAAACTTTATTAAGAATATCATGTGATGGATGGCCTAATCTTTGATGCCATAAAGTTGATGATGGTACATTATTAGTGACAAAATAGAAGGTGTTACAAGCATGTGTACTAACAGGTAATTCAGACCTAGATACAAACTGTGAAGAAAAAGTTTTAATCGTTTCTAGTTTAAAAGAGAATTTATCTAAAATGTATAATCTTCCCATTAACTTGCCAATTGCCAATACTGCCTCAGTCTGTAGGTCTTGTAAGATACAATGAGTAGGGTAAAAAACAAACTTGATGAGTGCGGACTTTGAAAGTTTATTTACTGAAAGTAAGTTAAACTTAAAATTTGGAATATGTAAAACCTCAGTAAGTGTTAAGGCTTGCTGCAAAAGGACTTTTCCTATGTGTTGGACAAAATTAATTGATCCATCAGGTAAGTATACAGGTGTGGGTTTATGAATTGAATTATAGGTGTTAAACAAGGCAAGATCGTTACACATATGAATCGAGGCTCCTGTATCTACAATCTAAGATCCTGAACTTAAAAATTCAATTGAACTTAATGCTTGTGTTAGACCAATACCTGCAAAGTCAGCGAAATGAGCAAAATCGATTGTAGAGCCATCAGCTAATGCCTTTCCTTTCATAAGCTTGGCCAACTCTTGTTGGATTAATTCTGATATTGTTGTTCCCTACTCAGTTCTAGTATTGCCAAGTTCATTTCCAGCTTCCAGAGGTGTATTAGTCATATTTGCATAAGTCTTGTGTTGAGTCTTTCCATTTTGTTCCTTCAAATCTTTGTACCAATCAGGATAACCTTGAAGCTTAAAACATGTCTCCTTCGTATGCCCATTGTTATTGCAGAAATCACAATGTCTCTTTGACTTCTTAATCATATCCTTCCTCTTGTATCCTGTCTTAACACCTTGTGCTTTTGCAAACATAGCACTATTTTCAAGATTATTTGCAAATGCTACATGTACCTCTCTCTATTTTTCAACTTGCAAGATCATTGAGTATACCTTGTTAATAGTGCGTAAGGGATCCATGACCAGAATTTGATTTCGAACATGATCAAAGCTATCATTTAATCCCATAAGGAATTGCATCAAACGATTAAAAGAAGTTATTTCTGCCATCGATTTAGCTGCTCCACAACTTCACTATGGTATAGGCATCAAACATGTCAATTCATCCCATAACTTCTTCAGTTTTGTGTAGTATTGTACTAGTGGCATATTTCCCTGATTAATTGAACTAATATCCCTTGGATTTGATATAACAAAGGTCCATTACATTCACCGAACCTTTCTTCCAATTCCTTCCACAAATCTTTTACAGAGGTTGTATACAGGAAAGCTTCAACTATCTTTCACGAAATTGAATTTAAAATCCAAGAAGTAACCATGCAATCTACCCTCCTCCATTGATCAAATGCTGGAGAACTTTCATCAGTATCTTACATTGTCCATTAATAAACCCTAACTTCACTTTGGCTCCTAATGCGAGTTTCATCAAACGACTCCAAGACAAGTAGTTCTTATCCATTAATGGAGTTGAGACAAGGATCATACCTGGATGATCAGAGTTTTGCAGAAAAAAAGGATCTCTGCTTCGTATATTTTCTCCTGTTCATACTGAATCAGGTTCCATTGTTGCTTCACTTTGAAAATCCGAGCTCCTTATACTAGGTTCCATGTCAACTAGAAGCAATAGTATGTCACAAAACCAGAAAATCAATGATTTCGTGAAGGATCTATTCCTCTGATACCATGAACAGAGTAATGCAAGCTTTACAGAGTAAAATGTATTTGGTAAAGTTGAATATTCTGTTATTGAGTAAAGTAAAAGTTGCTATATATATACAAGGAACTGTAGCTAACTAAAACGTGACTAATCTAACAAACTAACTGCTTTACAGCTCAGCATCTAACTAATGTAACCAACTATACAATAAAATAATTTATTCTATACAGGCTGCCATTAATTTTGACAACCCTCTAAGAATAGGCAGTCAAGACAATAAGAGGTCCACATGCTTTCATACCACCATTGTAGAGTTTCTGGTGGCAAAATACTGGACAAAGAAAATCTATTATACTTATTGTTGTTAGGTAAAGGAGAAAGAACTGTTCTTGAAGTGGTTGTTCCTCTACCTTCAACATGGAAAGCTCGAACATCTTTGGTAAAAAAAAATCTTGATTCAAGAGTATTCCCAACAGATGCAACCATAACATATCTTCCAGAGCAGCCATCTGCACTACTTGCACAAACTATCTAATAATCTCTCCAGATTGTACACACCCTTATCATGAAACAGCAATGGACCATTATTAAACATATCCTAGGTGGCAGGTGTAATTCCATTAGTTAGTTAGACACATTTATAAGGAAGCATTAGTAAAATCGTACCAACTCATGCTAGACAAAGTAATCCATACCCTCGTACCAGATCTCCAAATGTCATGGATCCTTCATATTAAATCACATAAACCAAAGCAACCATCATTCAAGTCGAGTATGTATCTCCTAACACGAAATCCACTCTTACTCAAGCCTATACCTGTTAGGCGTCCACAACTTCCACAATTTCCACCCTAGCCTATACCTGCTAAATGTCCACAATTTCCATCCCAACCTATATTCACTAGATGTTCACAATTTCCAACCCAGCCTATTCCCACTGGATGTCCACAATTTCCATCCTAGCCTATACTAGCTAGATGTCCACAATTTCCATCCTAGCCTATGCACCATGTTGGATGTCCACAATTTCCATCCCAACCTATTCCTGCTAGATGTCCACAATTTCCATCCTAGCCTATATCCGCTGAGCCTATATCCGTTGGATGTCCACAATTCCATCCATTCAGTTAATACAACCACTAGCACCACCACCACACTAGTATCTCGGGTCCTTAATACAAACAGCCAACTAGGCCACCCACAATCTGAACTCGGGGTGGTGTCATCCACATTTTACCTTTGAGATGGCTAAAGCATTACAAGATGACCATACTCGACTCATAGTCTACCCTCGGGGCATTAAGTAATAATATCCGACCCACAATAATATATATATATATTAA